TGCTATGGACAGGAAGCTCCGTGTGACACACACTCAAGCACGCTACAACTGCGTACAACGAGCAATGTGTTGCACTACACAACATGCGGGTTCGAAGTGTCGATAGAGCTGCATGATGTGTCACATTTGTTTGGTTCAAGTGGGTTGACTCTGTATTAAACACATGAGGACTGTGCAGTCACAACAACAGGTCTTCTCCTGTTCTTAATGTGACAGATGTTGTTGGAACCGGTGTCATCAGTACAATGTCTCCAATTGGTCCTCTGATTAAAATGTACAGTACAAATGGGGATTCAGACCGGATGTTTTAGGCAACATGTTGGACTTACTCAGATTACCTCTTGTATGCAGCAGAACACAGTGAGACACCACTGCCACCACAGAGAAACTAAAACAGCAGTTTAATTTGGGGTTGAATGTCAAACTGTGGCTACAGCAAGTGAGGGCTGCTGCCAAGCTACAGGTATTTCATTGTGAAACTAATCTGATCTCATGAGATCATTCAACAAATCTGCCACACACTGTATAATGTCTCCACATTGTGCAGCTCTACAGGTGGATCAGTTCGTTTGACTATGAGATCATGCAGAATCACACAGTCATAATGTTTATATTTGACAACACAATGTCACTGATGTCACAGAAAACAGCCTTACCCAATTTTCCTGCAACAGAAAAACAAGCAGAGTTAGAGAGTTAACATTTCTGGGTTTTTTATTAAATTGCAGGTTGTTTTTGCAATTGTTTTCTTTCTTAATTTTTTTAATTACAAATTTTAATTAAAAATTACATCAACGCAAACAATCTCTAGGTAACTGAGAGAGGGAATATACTTCTGTACTCTACCCAGTGTTTCCATTTTAAAAAGTCTTCAAAACAGCTGTGAACTAAAGAGCTCACTGCAGAAATGGACCACGGAGAGAAGACAAGACATGATGCCTCACTGCGCGCTGGGTCAACACTCAGAGGGTCAACAGAGGTATACGTGTGGTGGGCCACTGTTGTAATGTTGGTTTCAAAGTACCGCACATTATAATCAACATACATGAACTGTTCATATCCTAAAACACCTCAGCCCAGCACCAGAACACACCCATGAGTCTTGCTGGTTAGAGCTTTGGTTAGAATCTTTTGGGGTCAGGAGCAGGGCCATGCAGTTTTAGTAAATGCATGTCAGTTAATAATCGTCAGACGTCTTTGTGAGTAGGTAGTGCACCTCTTCTGAGTGTGTCCGTTGGACTGCTGGTCAGACGGCAGCTCGATGATGACAACGCAGGACTGAGCGTGCTCAAAACCGTCCTTGTTGTTGGGCGTCTTTGGAGAGCACTGGGTGTCCAACATAAAGACCTGGATACAAGAGGACAGGTCAACAATCAAGCTCTCCTGTGCCACCTGAAGTTGTACTGACCTGCTACTGAAAATAGACAACAGAAATCGTTATCTAGCGCTTCACGGTTCAAGCATTCAGACCCCAGACAGGAGGCTGAATCAATGGCTGAGGCCAGCGATAATCAAACAGACAAAATGAACTCATCCTCCTCACTGCACAGCCTGCTTGGTAGCACATGTACTACACCTGTAATATTTTTTATTTTCTGACCTGCTGAGCCATAGCTTTGATCCTCCAGTACTCTGCCTCAGCTGACGGTGAGTGAGATGGCGCTGCCACCTTCACCTCACAGGCGTCTCCAGAGAAACTGTCTGAGCCGCTGTGAAAACACGCTAGAAGGTTCTACAGGGACACAGAGACAAAGGGAGGTCGAGGCTGACCTGCATCAGATAAACACCATAGGAAACAAATGTTCTACTTTGAGATTACATCTTATGCACTGTAGTCACTGTATGATTAAAAGCTAACTAAGACATTAGGAAACCTTCAAACGTGCAAAAGCAAACAACAGTGACGTTTTGGAACAGAAGCAGTGGAGACTTTTAGTTGCATGGTTGGAATAAACAATGTGGCCCTGGGTAGGTTTTCTTCAGTGCTGAAAACAGGAGGAAAGGCGCCTGTGTCATGTTCATACACTGATACAGCAGGCGGGTGATGATCAGCATCACCCCAAAATACCTCCCTAAAGCAGAGCACCTGACCAGCCCTACACTCACGGTGCACGTTGTACATGATGCAAGCCATTCTCTGTTACACTGTACAGTCTTCAGTAAAATGTTGAAAGCTGGTGAATCCATCGCCAAACTATGGCCAGCAGGTGAACAAACTGTTTTCCCTGTGACTCATTTAAAGTATTACACTTTAACAGAGGATATACGTTATATCAGAGCTGAACTGCATTGCACATGGTATTTGAATGCAATTATCTGAGTGTGTGTCTGTCTGCGTGTGTTACCTTGACAGGCTCTAACGTAGCAGAGAAGGCGTCCTGCAGAGCACAGCAGGCCAACCTCCACATTTCCTCTGTGAACACTGGACCCACTGTAACCAACACATACCTAGAGAAAGAGAACAATAAAAACAGTAGCGTAAAGAACGTTTACACAGAAACAAGACCAAAAAGGTGTGAATCTGTCTCTCAAAACCTCCTGGCTGCCTTTCCCTGTTTGTGGCACCGACCCTCAAACCTCAAACCCACTGGATCCTCCTAAAGACATGACGATTAAATAATGCCTCACACATACTGTGCCATACATCTGATGTTTAAAAAGAAAGTCCACTGTTTATCAGTGAGAACTCGTCATTGTCTGACTGTTCGTAGTGCAGGCACAGGCGTGCAGAGAGCAACAGCTAAGTGTAGCTGGCCACACAGAAAGAGACATTTCTGAACTTCAAATATTTTCACCTGTCTACATGAATTTCACGGTGGTGACAGGTGTATAACTGATAACTCTGTGTCATCACCTGATGCAGGAGCAGCCCACTCTGGAGATGGTCTCAGCAGGTTCAGACACACAGGCCACCAGCAGCTTGAACAGATCCTTCAGCATCAGGTTGATCAGAGACTCATACCCAATATCTGCAGGAACAAAACACACACACCACAACAACACAACGGTCTGTGAGCATGTGGAATCAAGGTAGAGTTGCTACAATTTCCATCCTGTCACAGATACCTTAAGGTAGAATTAACCTGCACGCTTTCTGTATATTCCACCAGACGTTTACACGTGGTTCATGTTAATGTTCTATTAGTCTCTTCAGTAGAAAGAATCTAACGCACCAACCAAATCTGCTTCACAAAGATGTTTCACATCATTAAAATGAGCAAAAACTATAGTGTGGAACGACAAAGCAGAGCCAACAGTGGTTCCAGGAGCTGACACATTCAAACTATTTGAGCTTCAGGGGGAGAGCACAATAAGGTACACCTCTTCTTTTAGTTGGTCGACTGTCAAGGCGATCAAACAACTACAAGCACTGAACTGGGGCAAACCTGAGGAGATGATGAAGGAGAGAGTGGTGCTTAAACTTTTAGAAATGCTTCTGTGATTGTTGTTCTTTCCTCAACAAGCATGACAAACTCCGGCGGCTACAGCGCCCTCGAGGAAGACATGAAACCCTTCCTGCTCCAGGTGAACAAACTGTGCTGTGTAGAAAATGGACACACACACACACACACACACACACACACACACACACACACACACACACACACACACAGCCGTCTGTCACCTGAGTGGATGAAACCGTTGACATGCTCCACCACCAGCTCGCATGACAGGCCGATGGCGTGTTTGAAGTTTGCCGCAGCCACATCCCAGTAGGAGTGGTCGCCATGGCTACGCTGCAGCCAGAGTGACATCACAGGAAGCAGCAGCTGGATGACGGAGAAAATGGCAAACCCTGGACCTGGATGGAGGAGACAGAGTTGTGTTCACGTTATCGTGGAAAAAGCGAGGGTTGTTCCACAGTTTCAGAGCGTGAGTCTGTGTGTTACCCGGTACGATGGTGACCTCTCTGAGCAGGGCGAAGAGCAGCTCCAGGGTGGGAGGCTGGTGCTGGCGAGGACAGTTTGACACAGCTTGTGTCAGCTGCTCCAGTAACAAAATCCACACCTGGATCAGACCTGCAGGACAGAGTACATCATGTAGCCGGGTTACAGAGAGAATGGGGTAGATATCAGAGGCAACTGGAGAAGAACAGCAGACACCGTGACAAACTGATGATAAAAGAAAGGAAGGAAGTAAAAGACAAGCAGAGAGCTGTTAGTCTGGCCTTTACCTGTGTTGTCATCAAACTCCTGCAGCACACATTCGATCCCATCCTCACTACTCATTGAGCGTTCCTGCGATCTCATCGGCAGGCTGGCGAGCCGTGCCCCCAGGAACACTGGCTTGGATTGCATCTTGTAGATCTTTGCCAACAACTGTCAAACACAACATGGCTTCATTCAGTCACAGGGAAAAAGCAAATAACTACAAATATGCTTCTGCTATCTAACGTGTTGTTCTGTCACTCACTGGGACTGTCTCCAGGAGAAAATGTGTTAAGATACAAACAATCCCTGACCAGGACCTTTTAATGCTTAATTTGGAACTCGGTGTAAATGCCCAGTGTGAACAACAGGGCGCCGACCTGTGAACATTTGCGGAGGTAGTCCAGAGCAGGTAAGCAGAGATCAGTGGAGCTGTAACCCGACACAAGGACACAGTCTCCGATCTCCTTATAGTCCACCTCTCCTACACGCAGCCAGACAGTCGCACAGAAAACAGTTAGGTACGCATTTTGATACGAAAAGTCTAAAAGTAATGTCTCAAACTGAACAGCCGGCATGTACAAGTGTGACTTACCCAAGCCTTTGACGAACTTCATGAGGCACATGATGTAGTCAGTGGCAGCATTTGCAAAGACCTGGATGTTGTCAGTGTTGATGAAAGCCTCAAAGACATCAAACACCGGAGCCTGGGACTTCCCTGGAGCAGAGGTGGGAAGGAAAAGGGAGGAAGGAAGGATTAACAAGAGAAAGAAAGGATGGCGGATGGCAGGAAGCCATCAAAAATAGATGAAGAAGAAATCCATTTAAAAGGGGACAAAAAGACACGACAGGAAAGTCAAATCACAACAGATCCTTGTGGAGTGGACAGCGTGAGATGTACCCATGGAGTACTCTCCCAGCAGGTAGTCTTTGGTGTCGGTCTTGCTGCCGTGGACGGTCCTCAGAGCGCTGAACAGAGGCCTCCATCCTGACAGGATCTGCGGAGAGCACATCTCCACCAGCTCACCTATCGATGTTATCACCTGTAGGAAGGCACCACAACGACTCCTCACACACTGGGTGGTGGAACAAAGCTGACTCGTGTAAAACTTTAGGGATTCATGCACTGATGCAACTGATTGATGTTCAAATGTGGCACATCAAACAGATGTCCTGCATGTGCTGGACATGTGCTCTCACATCACCTGGTCCTGTACGTCCTCGTCACAGAGTTCCAGCTGCATGATGTGCTCGAAGGGCCTGAACAGCGCCTCGTTAAAGTGGAAGTGCGGGAGCTCCGCCCAGCTAATCAGCACCTCTGTCAGAACATCGTGGATGAAGGAAACGGCCTTCTGGGATACGTGACGCTCTTTGTGACACGCTGCCTGGAAGTAGAACAAAGACTTAATGTGTTTGTCTGAGCCTCAGCTCTTTACACTGATGACATTTATTTACATCCATTTTATAAAAAGGACTACGGTGTGTGTTTGTTCATGGTGCAGAATCTGTAATACACGCTCAATACACGCCGGTTATTAGGTACGCCTACTGCAGCTAAACCTGCGTCAGTCTAATCCAGCAGCCCTGCAACAAATCCTTCCTCATGAGGTCCCGTTTTGGTGAAACCATCTTAGAGAGGAGTCCAATCAAAATCATTTTAGATGTAGTTCATCCTGCTGTTAAAATGTACGGCATTATACAGGTGTTTCTATTATTCTGTCCACCGTATTTAGATGAATGAGTCTCTGTGTGACAGAAGTTGCAGCGCTCTACCTCAACCAGGTGTGGCGCCACCACGCTCCAGGCCCTCATCATGTGGAGGAGAGGCCGGTTCTTGTTCCTGACGATCCTCAGCATGGCCTCGCCCAGACGGAACAGGTGAAGAGCGCTGCGCCGGTCCAGCGTCGACTTGGCCTCTCCTACACAGAGGACAAAACTGTGATTGTTTAGGAGGAAGGTGTGTTGCAATGAGTCATTTCAATATACTGACCAAGTTTACTCATGGTACCATGACACAACGCTTCCACTCAGTTTGGTCTTCATGCTGCTCTTCTCTTTAACCAACAGAATGTGTTTTTACATTTTTTAAACAAAAATAAAGCTGCACCTTTCTCCCTAGCTGATGTCCAACATCTCAAACCTTAACGTTATAGCTTAATATATTTATATTCTACTATAAATAACAACGTCATCAGGAAACATGATGCTCTGACAAATAGTTCATCTCAACATGCTTTGAAAATTGTGTTAAAGGTGAAGATTAAGGTTGTTAGCAGATAGAAATTAGTGTATTCACTGAAGCGGCGAAGGTGTGTGTGTGTGTGTGTGTTTGTGTGTGTACCTGGCATGGCCAGTGAATAGTCTCCAGTCTCAGTAACAGAGTCAAACAGCTGAGATTGAGAAGCTTTCCTGAGCTGCTGCAAGAAGCCGACCAGACCCACCAGGTTCAGTTTGGTAGCTGCTTCCTCAAACAACCTGAAACACCAACAGACTGGACTTTATGCTGGACTTTATGCTCCTTCATGTTTCCTCAATCCCTCTCTCCTTGCATTTTTGTCAGCGTAACTACAGTTAGGCTGGAAAAGAAGCAAGTGAGGGAAATGTAGATGTACACACGAGACTTGAGATGAACCCACTGACTTACATTCACTTCAGGGAGACTTATCCTAACCTCAAACATCACCATTACTCGCCCACCCCTGCCTTAAACCATGTCATCACTAAAAGTCGCCACAGTGTGAGTGTGTAAACAGGTTTCAGTCCCTGCAACATGCTGGAGTCTGAAAATGTCCTCACAACAATGGAATTAAACAAATGTTGGTTCACACAGTGTTATAAAGACATGTAGACACACAAACAAAATGCTTCACTGCAGTTGTGAACATCTGGAATAACGACTCACAATCACCTACAAAGACCTAAACAGTAACTCGTGGATTCTCGGCCACACAAGTATAGAAAGAAAAGGCCATATGCACGCACGCACAGGGAACTCTGCTGCCCTCTGGTGGCTGTTTTGACTCACAACCACAGCACCGAGGAAGCAACTGAGTTTCTTGGATACACAAACTGAACGCCCCATGCAGCTGTGGAGGCAAGTCCCACATGCTAAGCAATCTTTTTATTATACACCAAAAGTTGTTTTCATTACTGATTATTCTAACATTCAATAATTCCCATTGCCTGGTTTAGTCAAATGTCAAAAAAGTGTCTGACAAATGTAAAAAAAGGCTTCAAAGTAACATCCTAAAATCAGGAAATCAAATTTACAATCATATAAAGAGACCTGATGACAGGTGTTGGTATTTGAGAGCTAGTTTTGTGATTATTACCTGTCAGCCTGCGTTGACAGTGTGCACACGGCCTTGGCGGCGCTGGTCCCCGTCATCAGGCTGCCGCTCTTCAGGTCTGGACCTCGGCCTCCTCTGCTGCTCTCCCTCAGCAGCTCCTGGATGGACAGAGGCTGGATGACCGGCTGGCTCAGGCCCAGCTCTGAGGCTTCGGGGCTAGGCTCACAGCTCATCTCCAGCCCCAGGTCGACGCCAGCTGCCAGCTGGCTCTGCTGCGTGATGGTGGTCAAAGAGGATGGCTGTGAGGAGCCGTCACTGAAATGGGTGTGCTCCAGTGAACTGATGTACTCGGTCACCCTGAGAGAGAGAACGTGAGGGGATAGAAGAACAAAAAAAAGGAGGAGGTGAGATAGAAGAGAAAAATATGTAGTATGAATCTAAGTAGTTACTTCTAAAACTGCAGTATGCGCACGTGTGTGTGTGTGTGTGTGTGTGTGTACCTGAAGACATGTGGCCAGCAGTCATGGTTGTGGCTGCCCATCTCCAGGCCCACATTCAGGATGGCGTCCATACACAACACGTGAGCCGTATGTAGACGGACTCCCTGAGGTCGTCCCATCTGCTCCAGACGCTGCTCAACGCGCTGCTTCACTGGAGACAGACACACATCCAGGAATTTGACACAAACACAAGGAAACACAGTTGAAGGACAACAGATGTTTAAAGATCTAGGAGAATAAAATAGTCAACATTAACCGATTTCCAGCAAAACACAGAGTGTATGTAATGAAGGTTCAGCTTGTACAATAATGAGAATCAATGGGCTTGAAATTTGTGAGTCTAATGTCAATGTTGTCAACAACACTGGGGTTAAGAAAACTGAAGATGTGGCTGCAGTTCCCCAAGGCTGCCAGTAGATGTCAGTAAAGGAGCGTTTCTTACTGATGGCACCGTCAGCCTCCGCTCACAGCATCTAGATCAGGGTCTCCACAAGCATTAACGACACCAGTGCAGCCTTATTCAGTGAAAGGTGCCATCAATCAAAGTTCCTTTTTTTATTTATCTGTATAATGTTAATTTAAAAAAATCACCCTGTCCTGCTTTTTTGGCTCTTGATCTTTTGTGCAAAGCCAGTGCTGTCAACTTCAAACAGTTTTTTTGTGTGCACGTGTTATCAGTGTATGAATGTTCTACTGGCTGGTCTTGCAACATGCCTCCTCATCACTATCACACAGGTGCCAAGGTTTAATTTGAATGGACAGAAAAGAAACAATACATGCTCTCTGTACCTTGTGTGATGGCGTCTCCCGTCTCTGCCGCCTCCTTTTCCTCCTTCTCTTCCTGCACACAGGAGGCTGCAGCCATCTGGGCTAAAGCTGACGCACAGTTGGCTGCAACACCTGACACACACACACACACACACACACACAGTGTGAAGCTTCATTCATTCTCTCATGCTAAACATATCATCACTGCACAATGAAAATACCACCTTTACTCTTGGTTCTCGTCCAAACTTGGCTCTTTTACAGATGCAAATACACCGTCTGGGCTTACTAGTCCTTTGCATGGATTTAAATTTAAACTGGCAGCACCATGCCTCCCCACATACTGTTGATCTTGGACACCGTGTGCTCATTTATATTCATTATGTGAGCCAGAGGCAGCTGGCCGTGCAGTTGTTTCACTAACTGTTAAGAACTGATACATTATGGCTTCTGAAATTGGCCGATGATAAAATTCTCTAAAATTTGCATTTGTATGAAAACCTAACGTAACCCCGTGTTGACCTGGGGCTGCTCAGCGAGCTCTAGTTGTTACTGGGCAGCTGATGCTTCATAACTGTGAGAGTGAGAGTCTGCACCAGCAGTGACCTCATATTCTTTCATTATTCCTAAATGGAAACATGGCTACAGAGAATGTATGGACCATCTTATAATTTTAGGTGCCATCTTGCTACATTAATTAAAAGCACTAGCTGATGATTCTTCTTATCAATACAAACACCGGTGACACGTTTCTCCCACCCAGGGCACAGCTGAGCGCAGCAGCCTTGCGTAGGCCATCTAGACTCAGACAGATGGTATCTCTCTCCCTCTGGCTCTGCTCCTTAACCCCCTCTGCTCCCAGGATGAAGGCCAGGCCCTTGGAGCTCCCTGCCATGCGCCCCGTCAGCGGTGCAGACAGCACGTCAATCAGGTTCTTCCACACACCAGTAAGGATGAAGCGGGAGAACACAGCTCCTGTTATACACACACAGGCCCATCAGTTTAGACAGAGGGAAAATCAGCTGGAATGCCACTCGCCTGGAGGAAAACAATAGGTTCAAGCTGAAGTAGCTGATGCCAGGAAACAACAGGATGCTGTGCAAAAGTGATAAAATGGAGCAGAACAGACACAAATGACATTAAGATGGTACCAACAAAGCCCGACAGCCTCAGTCTGTTACTGAGTGTTTACACAGCGAGTGGCTCCAGTAACTGATGATGCTGACATCCTCCTCATGAGGAGTTGACTCAGCGACTCAGTGGCGGTTACCATGGCAACTCTGGCCAATCCTTTGTGCTCCAGGGGGATGCAGCAGTAGCACAGGTGGTCACTGGCTCATTTCCTCCATCATTGTCAGTGTCTGCTCTCTCTGTCTTTCCTCCTGACCTTTTACCTGTCATCCTCTTTTCTTCCTCACTGCAGCCGAACAGTCAGAAACATTAACCTACTGTAGTTGTACACAGCCACTTAGTGAAGATCTGATAAGACTGAATCTAAAGTTTAATTAAAACATGTTGAACATTTTATGTATTGTTTTATGCTTTCACTTATTTTGTGTGATCATGACAAAAGGATTAGCTCCAGCTGTAAGGTCCTTAGGATGTTAATATACTGTACTTTCAGGACTATAAGCCGCTACTTTTGTCGCTTCATGCACACACCCTCATCATGGACAACACACGACAAAATGCATATGATGCTGCTTCAAGTTGCAGGTGATCGATCTAGCTGTCGAAATATCTCATGTTACAACGTGGACACCTGCGGCTATGTACAACATGTCTTTTAGTCTTACATTTACTGGGTGCGGCTTAAGCCCGGTGCAGGAAGCAGTTACAAATGTTCTCTGTTAGAGACCCACAGTTCAGAAGGATATAATACACCCACATATTCATCCACAGCTGGTCTATGGCCTCGCTCACCTGTGTCCTCTAATTTTCAGAGAATCACAAACAGACTGGAGCATCTGACCAGGCAGCGCGGCTCTGGGATGCTGTCGGTGGAGCTTTTTCATCTGGTTAACACAGCAGCTTTTACCAAAACTCCTCAGCTCAGGAAAAATCTTTTTCACCTGTAGTAAAACTGCCACCGCTGACTGAGGAGAAGAACTAGACTTCACTTTCTCAACATTAGTCTTTCCACAGGTTCAGGGGGAAAAAGGCAGCCCTTCAGAACTCTGAGGCTTTGGGCTAATTACAGCTTGATGATGATGAACTACTGACCTGCCATCACAGTGTCACTGCCTGCCTTGTCACAGCTGAGCGGTGACTGGCTGGACGCCTTCCTGATCAGCTGGCCTCCAATTGCACTGCTGCCCAGACCGTCAATATCTAAGAGAGAGGGGGCGATAAACACAGAAACAGTGTGTTCTTAATTGACATGTCCACCACAGTTTGCTCACCTGATAATAGTCTAATCTGATATTAGGCTCTGTGCTATAAGCATGGATGTGTAAATGCCTGTAATTTTGTACAATTAATAATGTGAACAGTCCTAGTTTTACTTATACTTTCTCTCTCAACAATTTGCTTCTGCATTAAAAAATTATGTTGCACTGAAGCCAACATGACAGCACCAACCTCTGAATGAACACAAAGATGCAGTGAGAATACCTCACATGTGTGTGTTTACCTGTCAGCATGGTGATGAGCGCCAGTGCATGATCCTCCGGTGAGCCCCAGTAGCCAGCCTCTGCCAGCAGGTTGCGCTCTAACACCTGGTGGTAGAGCTCTTCTATCCAGGCCTGAGACAGAACCACGAGGACTCCGCTGCTCTGGATGAGACGCACAAACTCCTTCTACACAACAGTAAAACGTGCACACACACACACACACACACACACACACACACACACACACACACACACACGCTTCTTCAGTAGAGTAGAATGACTTAGCAGTGTGGGTTATACACTGACAGAGAGAAAAGGCTGTGTTGTAGGGATGTTTTTTAGTCCCTGAGCATCTGTCGGGAACGCCCCTGGTAACTGATCTCACTGAGGACAAGATGCTCACCAGGCTGAGGACGGGAGCGAGCGCTCGCCGTTTGTAGTAGTCACAGCAGCAGAGTTTGAGATTGAGCAGCAGAGCGTAGTAGGACACCAGGTAAAGACCGTCTGCATTCATCAGAGACTGACAGCTGAGGGTGTCACCTGTCTCAAACCCTGGAGAGTGAATCCCACCTGGAGAGAGAGGAGGCATCAGCGACATGCAACAGGTCTGTACTGGGCTTCACCAACACTGACATCATCTGTGGGGATTCTAGAGGCAAGAATCGTAAAAAGTTGATGAGGAAAAATAAGGTGAGTGAGGGTGGGAGAGTCAGTGAGAGAGGAGGAGGAGGAAGGAAGTGATGAGAGAGGGAGCTAGAGAAATAGAGAAAGGGTGAAAGAGGGAAAAGAAAGGGAGGTGAGACAGGAGACGGAGGGCAAAACGGAGAGGGTGACACTGAGGGAGTGAGGGAGATTTTGTCAGGGTGAGAGAAAGGGAGGAAGTGTTGGACAGAGAAGAGGAGGGCGGTAGGAGGAAGACAAGAAGAGAGGAGGATGGAAAGCAAGAAGAGGGTGAAACGTAGAGGTAGAGAGAGGAGAGAGGAGATGGAAAGGTGAGAGCAGATAGTGAGATATAATCCTTCAGCTGCAGAGTCAAGCGTCTGAATCGGTCACGCTGGGGATTTACAGCCGCGACCAAACTCATTAGGTCAGTTAACCGTACAGTTTCATTGGATCCGTTATTTTGCTCTGCTGATGTAAAAACTCCCAGCAGACTTACTGTTTTTACTGAGGCATTATGGGTCAAGCATCAGAGGCAAACTGTTTTATGAGCCAGTTACTGCTCTAAAGCGATGAACTGAATATGAAGTATCATCCAAACTAAGTTTAAATTTGATCCTACTGCTCTCGTCCCAAACTGATCCACAATCTGAAAGTGAACTGAAGTGAAGCTTCAGATGGCAACGAGCTGCACTTGTTCTTTGTTGGGATGTTTGACTGAAAGGCACCTTGGGAACTGTAGTTCACTTTTACATCTGTATGCCAAATGCCTGTATGCCTCCATTTTCACTTTAAGTATCAGATTTAAAAAACTTTCACACAACATCACACACTTCACCCAGAATGAATGAGGAGTCTAATGAGTTATGCAGACACACAAACAGGCTCGTGGCTACTATAAACAGAATCAGAGCAGCTATAATCCAGTGTGCAGATAATAACTTGATTCATCCATCACTTAGTTTATTGTGCAGATTCTGCATGCTGGACTTGTGAACGCTCAATTTAACAAAGAACTTCTGAATTTGCATAAATAGATGGACTCATTTATTTCAGTTTAATCCCTTTAGTGCTTACTGGCAGTAAGATGCTTTCATTTTATTTTATTTTTCACTCTATCTGCACTATATTACTGAATATCCCCAGTGTCCTTACAGATTTTATTTTAGTTTGGGACCAACAGCAGAGACTTTGCTGCTTGGAAGAGGCTGCTGCACAGATCGCATCACCCTCAGCAAAGGTCCTGTGTTTGTTGAGCGAACACTCATGCGATCATTGAGTCTCTTCCCAGTTTTCAAACAGGGCAAGGATTCAAGTCACATCAACACACAACTCTACCCACCAGTCTGTAGTCCAGAGCAGAAGGTGGAGGAGAAGTTCTGCAGGGACAAGTCCACCTCCGCGGCAGTGGCCAATCCCAGCAGCCGGGGCAGCAGCGCCGCCAGCGCCTGCACGAACAGCCTGGCGCTCTGCTGGTCAGCCTCCTGGTTGCGTAGTAGTTTGAGCGACAGGGCGGCGGTGCGCAGGGAGCGGTGGCCAGGGCAGTCACGAGGCGTCTGCTGCTCCTCATCAGCCAGAGAAACGTTATCAGAGCCCATGTCAGACACGTCAGAGCGCCCAGAGTCTTTCTCAGCCGCCATGGAGTACTGATCACATGAGTCGAACTCTGTGCGTGACAGCTCCTGCTCCTCCATGCTGGTGGACAAACAGGAGCCATTAGACAATCTCTGTTGTTGAATGTTTTAAGACATACTGTGGGATTTTAGACTTTCCAGGCAGCTAGTTATAAAGGTTATAAAGCTAAGTTATAACATGATGTTGATTCATGATTCACTTAATAGTCATGAAATCGCTGTGTGGCCACTGTCATCAACACATAGCAGCACTTCTCCAGTATGATGGATTACCGACCTAAAGCAGCTTTCAAACCTCTAAGTTAGTTTTCTTTGTGTTTGCAAATGAATGAAAACCAATAACTGTTTGGAAGAAATGAAATGAATCTAAAAAGCAGTGGCATGTTTGGGAAAATGACCAGCAGACCAGAAACCTGTAAGACATTATAGGACATATCATCGTGCAACTGTGCTGCATAACTATCAGTTTTCAGAACTCTGGATCACATCCAGTGACATATTTAATGTCTGCTGTCAACATTTCCATCCATCTCACTACATAAAGAACATGCACCTTCCTGCGGTGACGATGAAAGGTGGCACTAGATGTAAATCACGAGGTACAGAACCATGTGATATGAATGTAAATCGGAGGATACTGAGCTGCATCTTCATATTTCCACTGAGTCAAAAAATGATAAACAGTGACATAAGACAATGAGGAGTGGGGGAATTCTGCATCGCTGTCTGGATAAAAACTTGATGGCAACAAAGAAAGAAACGTGGCTTAAAGGACAGAACATTGAAGGTTATTCAAGCTTAACCTGGAGGGTGAATATTAATATTTGTCTTTGGCCGTTCATACACCCACCCACCCACACACACACACACACACACACACACACCTGAAGTTACTTTCACTGTATCGTGACCCTGCTCCGTGATGAGACCTGGTCCTGGACTCCACGGACAGGAAGTTGGTGATGTCAGGGTAGACGAGGGCATGACTCCGCTGGACCACATCTGGAGGGACCGCACCTCCTTTCTCTCCCACTCCTCCTCCCGTTCTCTCTCTCTCTCCTCTTCCCTTATTTCCCCCCGCACCTCCTCCCTCCTCCCTCTGGCTCCCCTGGTCCGGCTCAAGGCTCAGCTCAGGTTTGTCTCCTTGCAGGCCATGACAGGATGAGGGCGAGGAGAGGCGTGCATCCTCCCCACACTCCTCATAAGCAGTGTGGCTCAGACCCAGGTCCCCCACCTCCAGATCCAGGGTGGTTTGGCCTGTTTCAGTGGTGATGCTGATGCTTATGTCAGGGCTGCGCTCAGTGACCCCGGCAGTGGCCATGTTGGAGGAAGAAGAGCTGGGGTCCCACGCAGCCTGCTCAGAGGACAGGATGTGTCTCTGCCACCTGAAGTCGGCCTCGTTGATCTCCATAGACTCACGTGTCGATTCCGTCCCGTCTTTCAGATCGTCCAGTCGCCTGAGGAGAAGCCGAGCCTGTGAAACACAGCCGCTACGTTACTGTTTCTTACCAGCATCTGCTTTAGATCCTTTCTGTTAATAAAAGGACTGGTTCACTTGTCTTTCACCAGCCCTACAGCTTCATTTCATCAATGTGTTTGAAGTGCATTATTAAAACCAGGAGTGTGTAGCAGATATATGTCTCAGCAGCGTACCTGCTCAGGTTGGATGCTGCGGCCCTGCGACAGTTCATCCAGTGCCCCGAGGAGAGCACAGGCACAGGACACAGAGGAGTAACATGCCTCGATGCCTCCCTTCATACACGCCTCTGTCATCCCGTCCATCACTCTGCCAGAGGAAGCACAAACATGACCTATGCTCCATTTTGTCAGGTTGTGGGTGTCAAATTAATTAGTGCAGGAAGGCATTATATTGATTTTTACTGAAAAACAACAGGTAAGTGACAGACATCACCTGCAGCAGAGTGAACTCAAGGTATTATCTGAGCATTTTTAAAGATGCGAACAGTAACACTGTAGCTTAAAGACTATAAGCTAACACTATGACACTGTGTTTCAGAAAACCCAAATGTATAAATTCTGAAAACCGGTTCTAGTGTTCCTACAGTTCAAACAAAGACAAGGGCAGAGGAGTTACTGACAGTTTCAACAGGTCCAGGTGGGACTTCCTCTTTGAGAAGGAGCGCTTCCTGGTGTCAGGTTCAGCCACACATGGACCGGCCAAGTCATACAGCCGCTGAGCACTGCCCAGAATCTGACACAAGCAGACCCACACCGTTATTCAACATTCACGTGGCTCCTCTTTTTACACAAAAATACAACCAGTCATGCTCTGTGCAGTCACATGAAGTAGCCCTTCCAAGTTACCTTATCAACTAAGCATTAGGTATAAATTGTATCTAAAAAGGTCAGAAACACTGTCTTCTCCTCCCACCTCCTTCATGATGCGGATGGCCTCCGTGCGGTGCTGAGGGGGCGGGTACAGCAGAATCCTGTGGTACAGTGACTGCAGCACTGGTTTCATTGACTCCACGCAGTTCACAAGGCGCACGAGCTCTGCTGCGATATAACACACCGTCCGCACTACCGGCGCAATCCTGGCAGGGGCGCTGGAGGAGCAGCCGGATCCCCTGCCTTGATCAGAAACCCCTCCACCGGAGGCATCCACCTCCTGGCTGATTCCTGGCAGAGGAAAGCAAGGAGCGACATGAAGCTGAGCCCCTAAAATCACACCGACAAAAAGTGGCAGAAAGGTGATTAATTGACCAGAGTCTTGTTTCCAAGCCCTGGTTATTTTTAAGAGAAGAAAAGATCCTGATTCTTTCCTACAAAACAAACACAGACTGTGAACCTGTTGAATTATAGAATCACTCTTTAGGTAAATCAATCACAACAATGTTGACAAGAGGCTTTGTAACGACTTCAGCTTATCTTTATAATATCTGATTTATAGGAGGACAAAAGGGCGGCCAATCAGCATCACAGCAGGCCGAGCCAAATGACCCCACATCACGTTTACCTCCGTTACCGATCTTAGCGCCTGTTTCAGCTTTACCACTGAACCTCTGTCCTGATGTTGGGAGTAAGGACTCCCCACTTTCACTCCTACTGACTCGTACCAACCCTTACCCCCCCCCTTCCACAGTGATTTCTCTTGTAAATCCAGTTACCTAGACCGAGTCTCTCGGAGAGCCGGTCTCGGTCTGGCACCCCCATGTAGCTGTGGTGGGAGGCGATGGTTTTGTCATTGGCAGGATTTCCCATGATCGCCACAAGGGATGGACACAGCTGCTTCCTGGGAGGAGGAATATCACTGACTTTAGCACTAAGGATATATGTAATCCAGTAAATTAGAATAAAGGACAAAGGTTAGATTTCTGGTATTTTAGAGAGAAACAAACTGTGACTTATCAAACACATTACAGATCAGCATTATCTCGCCACCGGGCTCCAAAAACACAGGTAAAACATTCCAGAGGCATTTAAATGAGGCCACTGACTAATATTCCTCTTAATTTTTTGGTTCTAATAAACTGTATGATAAATATTTGTACTCAGCCCCACGAAGCAGGACACACGCTCTAAACAAACACTAGAGATTAAATGCCAGATCAAAGTGTGCTCCAAGTTTTGTTTGGGACAGATAACGCACTTCGTTCATTTTGGTGCTAAACTGTGCAGGACTATAGAGGTGCTACATTTCTTACCACACAAGGTCTGTGAAACCTCTGGACAGGTGCATTGTGGGAGGACAGCTGCTGAGCATGGAGAGGATACATTCCAGGTAGAGCAGCTGCAGCAGCTGGTTATCACTGGAGGGTGAAAACACACAGAACAAAAATACAAACAGTAAAACATAGTAAGAAGTAGGTCCAGTGTCTGTCAGTGATGATAACCTGGCTGCCGTGTCAAAACGAGCACAAACTCCGCTGAACAGTAGTTAACCTGTACCTTCAGTTTTAGGGTTAAAAGTATTTTTACTTAGATTAATTTAAACTTTATCTTGTACACAGCCAGTTTTAACCAGTCTCCTGAGATTTGCTGTCACATTACAGGAAACCCTGATGAATCCAGAGAAGCCTCGGGCTGAATGTTCACCTAAATATTACAACAACACAACAGAATATCACATCGCGTAATGAAAACCTGCAGTGTTACCTGTCCACCGACTCCAGCTTCTCACAGAAAACTGTCAGAACTGTCACCACGTCCTCACACAGAGCCTGACTGGTAGGAGAAATATCTGCACGCGCACACACACACACGCACACACACACACACACACACACACAGCATAACAAGGTTAATTCTCAACACCTACTTCTTCTGTATTCAATATGTGCATGAAGTGATGAAACACTTCGCCACGTCTCTCACTTGTCTCCCTCCAACCAAATACATCAGTCCCTTAAATGTGATGAACACAATAATGCACCAATCAATATAATCCAATAATATGATGTACACTGATGTGAAATGTGCCATTCTGCAAAATAACTACTTCTACTTTTGGTACTTTAAGTATATTTTGGTGATAATACTTTTAGGCATCATTTTAAATTCAGGACTTTTACTTGAAACCAAATATTTATATTCCATTGTGGTATTACTACTGAACCTTTACTGAAGCAAACGATCTGAGTACTTCATATATGTCATCATGTAACAGAGCTAACGAGGAGCGGTGAAGAGGTGAAGGACACGACTGGTAACAACGTACCTCTTCTCTGCAGAGGTAGCGCAGTCAACTCATCTCCGTCTGCACCCTGGGGAGGGACACACAGCACGAGGCAGGTTTACTGCCACTGCCTTGTGTGGGTTTTACACAGAAAGTGATAAACAGGTGCTACTGTGGCAATAAGCAGGATAAAAAGTTGGATGTTAGTGTCTGAGCCCTCGGTTTTACTGATGAGTGTGCACGTACCTTGTTTGCCAATATACAAAAGTTCCTTCCATGTGTCTGTGCTCAACCTGCATGTATCTGTTTGTGTGAGTATCGTGCACATTATATCACAGAAATACATATATGACAATATACTGCAATATTTCTTCTTAAGAGATGTGACACTGCCAATCAGCTGTTTCTATCCCATGGCTCCTCGTTATGCGTGTACGTAGGGTGAGTCCCAAAATGTAGTGACTCCTTTTGCCTCAGTGACTCCTGAGTGTGCCTCCTTTCCCCTTTTCCCTTTCACAATAATGTACAACAGAGAAAAGCAGGACATCTCCCAGCTGAGGAGCTGAAAAAGAGAACTGTTGTTCAACCAAAGGATTATCCATCCATCCATTATCTATTCTGATAACGTGTGCTGTGAGGCGACAGCGCTATCCGCTGCAGGACCAGGCCACCACAAAGACTCACTTTCTGTCACTCATCAGTTACTCAGCTAATTGTCTCAGCACTACTGCTGAGCTTCTGGCTCGGCCCTGTTGTTTGGGCCTGGATCTACCGGGTTGTGAGTGTTTCATACGAGTGTGTGACCTCTTGTCTGTGCCGCAGCTGTAGCGTCAGGTCTCCCAGTATCTGGCTCAGCGTGGCTCTGACCGCCGTGTTGATGCTGCGCTGGTGACAGCTGGACACATAGGTCTCGATACACACCTACACACACACAACACCAAAGTCAGTGCGTGATTGTCTGAGTCAAAAACAGAACAGTCATGACACTTACTCCCAAGAAAGGGGGGGGGGTTCTGTCAGTGTACTAAACATCTTCTGGCCAGATCACAAGGTCACAGTAACCACTGTGGATCTCTGGAAGGTAACGCAGCAGTTACTCTTCATTCAGATAAACAGCCCTCATTCTGAAACCTTAGTTCATGTTTAAAGAAGCAGTTAAACTGACTTTGTTTGTGTCCCCCTGCTGTGTGTAACTGTAAAGTGCAATTGTAAGTGTAATGGATGTGCCTGAGTTAAAGGTAAGGTATAAAGCTCAAACTCCTGCTGGTTGAAGCTGAATGCGAACTCCTCCACACAGCGCTGCCAATCCCCGCATTAAGAACCTGTACTGCGCCACAGCGTTTATATAGGATGTTACTGATAATGGAGAGGTGCTGACAGCGTCCCCATCCACCCCGAGTTATGACCAAACACAAACACAGACACAGCAGATGGCCAGCCCTGGAGGCACGGAGCCCATTAAGACAACATGTTGACCAGGTTTTTATGAGCTGTTAATGGATATCAGCATCATCGCCTGGGTACGGGAGCTGCTGCACAGAAGTGACACAAGAAAACACTCTACACATAACAGTCTGCAATTTGGAAAATATTATGTGACGTTTTGGCATTTACATTTATGTTTGGAGATAGCAGCGATGGCTGGTCATCGGTCAGCTGACAGCTCTGCACACTAATGACTAACAGCACATTGTCAGTTGATTGAATTTCAGCTCTAGAGAAGCTGGAGCCGCCGTTTCTTTTATTGATTGTTACATAATTCTTTAGTAATGTCTCCTGCTACTCAAATATTGATCTTTTCAGTATCATATAATCACCATACACAGTCTTGCCCAGGAGCCATGAGAAGCTTGTAACCTTCAGGGTTTCTGCCCAACAGAGCCACTGTAAATACGGTACGGCTCTATAGTGCCACAGGAGGCAGCAGTTAGAGGGTTCATCACTTGTCAGCTGTGAATCAGATGCCATTCTTCACAAAGGAGCAAGCTATGAACCTTCCAGAGCCACCACGTTCTGTTCATGCCCAAAGGGTAACAAAAACACTGACTGTGGCTTTCATAATTCATGCATGAAAGGGATAGAAAGATGATTTGTGTGTGCCTGTGCGTGTACAGTAGGAGCCATCATCTCAACTTTCTCAATAATTGATGAGATTACAGCATGAGACAAGGCCTGTGGGTGTGCAGGGACGGAACAAAGCTTCACCTTTAACAACAGACTGAGCTCATGTACTGCTCCCTGTGCTAACAGTTCACTTTCTCTTTTAAAAAAGGGGTGATTTATTTGTCACCAGTCATTAAGTAAACGTTTCAAACTCCTCCACACTGATGAAACAGCAACAAAAGTGCAGGCAAAGTCCAAAGCTACAGCTCATTTAGCTTTTAAAACACGACTTGCAGTTATTTTAGTCTTAGTCAGTTCTAGTTTAGTCCGATCCATCTAGTTTATCTAATGATTCTAGTCTTGTAGGAGGTGCACAAAGTAAATGTTAGAGGGAACAAGTCATATGGGTGATACCTCAGCAATTCTCAGGATGGAGTCTCCGGTGATGTCAAAGTTTGTTGAGTAGGTGATACACAGCAGGACCTGTGTACAGGAGACACACACACACACACACACACACACAGAGTTTTCTACTGTCTCAAAGAGAAATTAGTTTGCAAGCTGCCATGCAGGCAATGTTTTCTTCATGCAGAGCTATTCAGCTACCTGCATCCCACTACTCATTGTAAAGCAGGCCTGCTGCCGACACATAAACATCAGTTCTGACTCTACTGGCAAAGTCCGAGTCCAGATAACTTAGACATACCTTCATGACTTCCACCTGCAGGTCCTCGTGGAGAGTCGGGGTGACTCTGATAGCCTCCAGTATCTGACTGAGCAGCTGCTTCTCCAGGGCCTCCACCTCCACTCCAACTCCACCCACAAACCTGTCCTCACACAGCAGCTTCTGAGTGGAGAGACAGAAGTGGGACGAGAGACGATAAGGAGCTGAGCAGTGTCGTGCCAAAACATCACGCGATCGGCATTAAGCCGGTTTCAAACTGCAGATTTTATGTAAAACATAAAAAAGAATAAAAGAAAAATGATAAAATCCTATTGTTGAAACAGGAAGAATCTTTGCAGGTCTGCTGTGTACTAGTACCTGCATTCCAGTAAGCGCCGTCTGTCCCAGTTTTGTGTTTTTAGACTCCAGCGCCATCTGTAGAGGCAGCAGGCAGTGCTCTCTGGAACACACAACCACAAACAGGTGACAACAACTCAGTGCTACACATGGCAGAGTAGTGCTCTGTTAGTTCTGAGACACACCTACAGTGAAGGCAGCAATAATCTTAGTGGTCGCGTTCAAATCAGGCTGCAGAAAAAAGGGAACCACTGTCCTTTAGCTTTTCATCTAACCTGTGTTCCAAAACACTGGGATTCTACAGATAGAAGCTCGCCCACGGCTCAGAAACCTTCTGTGAGTTCATTAAACACCGAACAACCTACACTTCAATAAGAACAACTTTACTCAAGGAAAAAATAACATTTCTTGACAATCAAGACCTTTTTTTTAACATAAACACTGTAGTTGAAGACAGAACCTGCTACAGAATCCAGCAACTGTGTTTGAACCCCAAAGCTGAGGGTTTTCCACATCTCCAGTTTGTCTTCGCCACTTTCCTCTGATCATTTGTAGCTGGGTGAGTCACTGTGCTCTGCTGCTGATAGCGAGTTACTGGGCTTCATCTCTGAGAGCTCAGGTTACTCTGAGCTATTTCAAACGGGCTGTGGAGGGCCACAGCTGGTACGGTACCGAGCAGCGTCCACCGCCTCACTGAGTTCAGTCTCTACATGTAGACACCAACAAATAATACAGTAAACTGCAACGAAACAACAGAGAGATACATGTTGCCTCAGAATTCAATTTGTTTTACCTTTCAGGGTGATTGTTGTCACAATTTTCAAAAATCTTGGAAAAACTCTTTAATAACAGATTAGATACATTTATTGACAAACATAAAATCCTCTCTGATTGCCAATATGGTTTTAGGCCGAACCGATCGACATCTTTGGCCATTACCGACCTGATGGAGGACATAACAAGTGCTATGGATGAGAAGAAATACACGATGGGGATATTTATTGACCTAAAAAAGGCATCTGACACAATCAATCATGAATTATTAATGGACAAGTTAGAAAAATATGGGATCAAAGGAATGGTTCTGAAATGGATTAGAAGTTATTTGACACAGAGGCGTCAATTTGTGAAGTTGGGTGAATACCAATCGAATGAGCTGGACATTGTATGTGGAGTGCCTCAGGGTTCTGTTTTGGGACCTAAATTATTTATATTATACATTAATGATATATGTAAGGTTTCTGATTTAGTGAAAGTGGTTTTGTTTGCTGATGACACTACCATATGGGCATCGGGTGAAAACCTACAGCAACTCTCTGGACGGGTTTCACAGGAACTTGAGAAGATAAAGAAATGGTGTGATAGTAATATACTATCTCTGAATTTGGATAAAACTAAATTTATGGTATTTGGGAATCGTAGACTAGATAATGAACTTCAATTGAAAATTGGGGGAGCTAATATAGAACGAGTATATGAAATTAAATTTCTAGGTGTCATAGTTGATGACAAATTCTCCTGGAAATCTCATATCAGATATGTTCAGCACAAAATAGCAAAAAATATATCAATATTGGCAAGGGTTAGATGTATTTTGGACAGGAAAGCACTACGTATTTTGTATTCCTCATTGATTTTACCATACTTAGAGTATGGCGTTGAAAACTGGGGAAATACATACAAAAGCTCACTTCAACCATTGTATATATTACAAAAAGAGCGATAAGAATTGTGCATAAGATGGGGTATAGGGATCACACCAATGGAGCTTTCATACAGTCTAAATTGTTAAAATGTTTTGATTTAGTGGGATATAAGACTGCTGTGTTTATGTATAAAGCCAGGAACAATTTATTACCTGGTGGAATTCAAAGACTATTTAATGAAAGGGAAGGGGGATACAATTTAAGGGGTCAGTTAAATTTAAAGATTCATGCTATACGTACAACCAAAAAAAGATTCTGTATTTCCATAAGTGGGGTAAAACTATGGAATAATTTAAATGTAGACATAAAAAATAGTAATAGAATTGATGAGTTTAAACATAAATATAAAGGTATGTGTCAATCAAGATATATGCAAGAACAGGTTTAATGATTAATTAGATGGAACATTGTGGGTGTGGTGTATGATTGTTAACACTCTGTAATAATTCTTTAGTATATTACTTGTGTGGTGTAGAAGTGAATCATTTAATGCTTGCAAACCAATGATGGTAAGATGATGTCATGGGGTAGGACTGGATAAGTCTGACTTCTTCCTACTCCATTCAAACATGTACTAGGTATAAGCACATTGATATTGGATTAGCATTTGTTGGATATGTGTATAATTATGTGTGTTGTCATATCAACTGTCTTTACATGCTTGAAAGAATAAATCAAATCAAAAATCAAATCAAATCAAATTACGCAGATTATTATTCTGTCAGTCAAAGATGTCCCACAGCAGCTCTCCCCCAGAGAGAGCTCTCACTTTGCCCCGTCTCGTTCTGTCCATCACTTTGTAAGAGTGTCATCTTGGCTCGAGTGGCTGAGAGTCCACTTTGTATTAAGAGGGTTGAGAAAGGAGCACACGGGCTGAAAACCATCACACAACATTACAAAGGCCCTGTCATCAATATTTCATCTAATAAATCCTAATAAATCAAGGAAGGTTATAGATGAATAATTCATCATGTGTTGAGCTTCAACAGCATCCTGGATTTCTGGCACCTTCATCACAGTCCAGCAGCAGCAGCGCCCCGTTCGCTGTACATGTTATACATTGACCCATTCAAATCCATTCATATCGTATACACTGTGTGAAACAGAGCTGTGTGAGCCACAGGGCTACTCAGGAACACTGTTATCTATTCCCTGCTGGAGTACATGCAGAGGCTGTAGAGTTTGTGGAGCTGTAAGGCAAAGCTAATACACCATCAGCCTCCAGGTGCTCTAACAAACTGTGTGGAAGCTGAGGATCAGCTGTTCTCAGACATGTATGACATGTGGCTGTGTGGTCATCATTTTCCAGAACTATACAACAAACATGTTCAGCCTGTTCTGTGTTCTAGGTTCTCTTCTTTTCAGCTACAGTGACTAAAACAACTGAACTAAATGTTAACTAAAGCTGAGCCGTTTCACTTACCGAAGCTGTGAAGGGGAAATCTTGGCTGGTCCATTCTGAGCCTCGAGGGTTTCTGTAATTTAATGGTACAAAGAAGACCAAACAAGGTGTGATTAACTTGACAAATATGCTGCATTACATTTATTTCAACCAAAATAAAAGGAGGATTCCCTGAAAATGAAACACCACAGGTGAAACCCAGAGTTTTCTTTACCAAACAGATGCTCCCTGAGCATCACCAGATGAGGATAAGATGTACCATCTCCCCCTGATTCAGAAGGGCTTGATCAAACCTACAGTGGTCTGCTGTTTTAGGAAACCACCGAGGCCTTTTTAACTCTAAGTCTGTGTAACACTACCTGATAAAAGGACTGGAACACTGTGCAGTGTTTACACAGTGAGCAGTTCTGTACGTCCTCGTGCTGAAATGAGTTCAGATCACTCAGAAACAGTCACCTCTCTGTGCACTGCACAGTGTCACGTATAATATGCTGATTCAAAACAGCAGGCCACTGTACAGCTTGGCAGAGCCTGCAAATTTTCACATTGGCTTCAAATTTCCAGCTAAAAGAGGCACAAAGGAACCTGAAACGTGAGACCTGCTGATATCTGGAAGCACAGCATAAATCTGCCCTTACTCTGACCAGGCTAGCATGTAGCATACATGTACAGTACAACAGCCCTGCTCTTGCACTGTATATTGCCATACATGCACAATGTTTGTGTGTGTGTGTGTTTAAGGCGTGTCAAGTTGGCCATCCTTCACATTCAAAGACAATTCAGAGCAGCACAATGATTGATGTTATGGGTGTGTCCCAACAGTCCAAGGCAGTATGACATGTGACTGGCCGACGTCCCTCACAGGACAGACATACCCGACATGTTTTTTGAGCTGTCACAACTGAGACCTCGGTTTATACACCTTGCATTTGTGCGCACACATGCACAGTTTCATTGTTTGCAGGCTTCTGGTTTAGATCTGCCCTTGGAGTGTGTGTGCAAGATCACATGGTTCTCCTGTGGTCAGCACAATGTGAATCCATTCTCTTCTCACTGTCTCACACAGTTTCACCTGCTAAGGTCAGACCGAACCTGTGACGTCAGTGGAAGCACTTTTTCCAGTTGGGTTTGGAGTCGTTTCTAAAGACTTTAGTGTCACACGCTCTGAGTGCTGTGTTCGAGGCTTCCAGGGGAAAACACTGAGCTGCAAAGGTTTTCCCATCAAAGCCTGAAGCCCTCCTCTGGTTGTAATGGTCCTTTGTGGTTTCTACACACACAAGATTCTCACAGTACTGACAACAACTGGAACTTGAACAAAGCTTATGAGAGGAGTAAGTGAGTCACCACGTAGGTCATCATAGTGAGGGCAGGGGGGGGGGGCCTTTCTGGAAACCTTCTGGCACTAAGAAACTGGAGTTGCACATTTTAAATGTATACATAAAAACTGAATGAAAATTACGAGGTTGAATTTTTAGATGTGCGCGTTGATCTGTGACAGGCAGCGCAGGAAAAACAGCAGCTGTTGCGTTTTGTAGCTTCCCACCAGCGCACGGAGATGGACAGCATCTTAAATTAATTGGCATCTTGATGTACTATCTGTGCCATCTCGTCAGCGCACGCCCGTGGGGTTAGTGCAGCTAGCAGGTGAATACACGTCCCTCCCCCTGCAGCCGGGGAGACGCGGGGCTGCCGAGCACTCACCGCAGGCGTAGACGCAGGCATCACGGATGCTTTTGTACTTGTGTCCCGACGCGTCTTTCTGCAGCTTTCGCAGGATTTCCTCCATGCTGGCTCCAAAGAGACACGGCCTTATAATCTCAGAGAGCAGACGCACGGCCGGGCTGGACGGTTTGTGTACGTGTGGGGCTGCCTGGGGGACGTTAAGGGTGAGGTGAGAGTGACAGCATCCCTGAACCCCCGCGATAAAGGTGATGATTCATTCCCTTCGAGCCAATAGAGTCAGGCCAGCCGTCAGTCCTCTGGAGGTGGAAGGAGGAAGCGCCTGTTTTCTGCACAAAGCCACCGCATGCGGCCTCCTGACAGGACAAAGGGGAGCTGATATCTGACAAACAACCCTCATAAACTGTCACCCATCCAGCCTTAGATATATTCAACAATTAAATGCCCTTCTGTCATCTTCGTCTGTCTTCTGTCCTCAGCACTAGCGCGTCTGCCAATCCGTTCCAGCTGATGTGTTCCTCACAGAATCCAGATCCGGTTTCTTCTGTCCCTCATATCGAGCAGCTTGATGCAGGCTACATGACGGGAGCCTTCCACTTCAAGGTGGATTTCTCTCCAAACTGGCAACATTGTGTTTGTGCCGTTTCTCTGTGGGGAAGCTGGAAACTGTGGCAGGACGGATGGAGTCACTGGAATGGGATTTCCAGTCTGAGCAGGGCCTCAGGTGGAGCTGCCTGCAGGCCGGAGGAGGCGTTGTCCCACCATTCATATTCCATTTTAAACGTTATGTCTTTTTTAAAAACACTTTTATATCATAAGTGAAATTCATGTACTTGATGGCTCCATCAACGTGTTACCACCTCTGACAAAGACAAACGTCCAGACACGACCGAGAGCCATAACACGCCTTGCACCGTCAATACCAGACACCAAACACCCTTTAATCCACACCTCCCGCTATTTTTCATCTGCTCCCAGATACAGACTTTGAACTGTGCCCCTTCTGTCGCTGCAGCTCTAAACAGAGTCCATCCTTGATGGTTCTGGACACATCTCACACCAGGCACCTGTCACATCTTCACCTGCTCTACCTCCTGAGCCACAGCCAGATTCATCCTCTGGGACCATGAACATGTGTGCTCTCACTAAATGTTACTGAGACAAATACTAATGTTTCTAAGATATTTGCCAAAGTATAGAACCTACATCAGGGTTAACATAGCCTCTCTACCAGTATGATGGAAACTCAGACTGAGCAACAAGGAGATCTAATCTGAGCTGCTGATTTGTGTCCAGTCGCAAAGTCGTATATGACAAACAGAACAGAGACATTTCATACCACAGCAACAAAGACGTGACTTTCATAAACACAGTTTAATGTGACATATTTGTAGCTGTGCCAGACTGATATTCAGTTATTTATGTATTCATTTATTCTACTGTGTATTCACTGGCTTAGGATCATAGGATGGGCTAATAAAAGGATAAGGCAACAAGGAAGAGCACGTAATAAAGTGAATGCAATGGAGGTGAAATACTGGTAGTAAAAGTTCATATTAAATCCCAGCAGGTGCATAAAGGTGCAGAAGAAAACAAAAGTGTGTGCAGTGGTCAGCAGTGACCAACGTGATCGTGACTGTAAGCCTGGTTTTACACACAGTCATCCCACCATGACTTTGGAAGCTTCTCAGTTGTTCTAAAGTTCTGAAAAGCCAGTCTCCAGAGTAATATCTAAGATTTATACTGACCCAGAGAACAAAACAGAGACAATGTCATCCACACATCCTAGTCAAAGGGCTGTTTAATTGATGAGGCAAAAGGACCAGAGACTCATTCACTGGGCTTTGTTATGTTCAAATGTTATGATGTAAGATGTTAACACCCTGCCTGCTCTCAGCTTATGACAATTCAACACTGATCTCTGTTTGATGCTCTGTGTTTGAAATGTGGTGCTTCTGTGCCTGCTACTTGGTTTTTGGAAAGCTCCATCTGCAAACCTAATTCTTTTCAAAACAAAGGCTTTGATTGAACTGAACTGTGAGAAGACTGCACGGCCACACGTGTACAGACATGCATATGTTACACACATCTAGTAGCTGAACATGTGTTCCATCTGCTGCTATAACAGCCACTAATCTTTGGCCTCCAACCAGCTTTGGCAGAGATTTGCTCCCATTCAATCATCTGACTTGTGATCAGTATTCAGGTGCTGGATGAGGGCTAAGGTCAGGGTTCTGTGCAACCAGGTCAAATTCTTTCATACCAAACTGTCTCATCTCTCATCTTGCTATTGACCTGGGTTTGTGCACAGGGGTACAGCCATGTTGAACTGGTACCTGAATACACTGTAGATCGATCTATACAGATAGATACTGTATTAAGTCACCACCATGGACAAGAATGCAATCTATAAACTGTAGTCAGTTAGATAACCTGGCAAAGGGTTTCAACAGACATACTTAGGGTTAGGAAAGCTCATAATATCACATGTTAAAATCAACCAACTGATATGTATTTTAATACTTTCACTTTCCTGAAGTGGAGTTGTTCATATTTGTTTACGTCACAGATTCCCATTTACATACATTTGATGGCTTCAGACCTTTTTTATAACATAAGGTCCCCCCAAGGTTTTATAATGTCTCAAAGCATAAACAAAGGCATAAGAAAGGAAAGAAATGCTTCTGTTCCACAGAATTAATTTTTTATTTCCTCAGATTTTTAAAAAATTAAATATAGTTTTAGTTTTGTAGGCCCTAAAAACCAAACTCACACATTGGCTGACATGTTATATCCTGTGATGAAGGGACTGGTTGTGTTTCCCTGGGGAAACAACTTCCAGTGGATCAAAGTAAAGTCGTTGTAGAAAGAACCAGTAACGACCCGCAGTAGAGACATAAGACCGCCTGGGGGCGCTACAATCCAAGGCTATACGGCATTAGTATCCCGCTTGTGGGGTTATCATACAGTACAATAACTGGGCTCAGAAGACAATGATGAAACGCCTCAGGAGCAGTTTGGTTTCCTGAGCTCCAGCAACATAAACCTCAGAAGTTTCAGAGGCGAGGTGAAGGCAGATCGCACCTCTTGTCCTAACACCAATAATTTCATGCTTTCAAATTACAGTGAAAGTAAACAGAAAAATATCTGAAGGGGAGAAATCAGAGAAATCAGAACAGCAGCTCCCTCGCCTTGGTTACATGAGGGCCAATCGATCCTGTGCGTGTGTGTGTGTGAAATGGGTTTAATAACACCTTCGACACCAAAACACGTCTTCTCTTTCAGCAAATACGCACGGCCATCCATGGCACATTTTATCCTTGCCAATATAATTTCAGTAAAATAAACTCCAACAAGGTCCGAGAGATGTTGTTTTCTGTTTATCATTTGTGTGCATGAATAAATACTTGTATATTTGCTGCCCAACGTGCCTTTTGACGTCACGGGTCAACGTTGTCATATATAGGCGGCGAACTGCGGTTTTAAGTTTCAGTGTTTCTGCTCATCAAGTGGGATGGTAGTCAAGGTGGACAACAGCAAATACAATCCTATTTAATAGGTCAGGTATTTTGGGAATATGTCTACGACGCACCACGTGCGTAATGACGGGTATGCCTCGAAATTGAAGAATTAAGGTGTCGAGACTTTCTGAAAGGAAAGAGAGCATCTCCGAGTAGGTTATCCTGAGGGGGGGCTGTGGATAGGATTTCTCACATCGACACCGGCACATCGTGCGCGCCTGTGTCACCACCGGAAGGATCTCCAAGTCCATGGATAAAAAGGAACAGAAGGTACCAGAATGGTTGTTGTGGGAGCGAGTAACGGAACTTTCGGTAGTAGCAACATGAGGTCGTCGATTATGATAGAGGACCGAGCCGGTGGTGAAGATCCTGGCGGCTACACCAACATCATGATCTCGGGGGCTCTTGTGCCCAAGCTGCTGAACATTGCGCAGGGCGCCGCAGAGGCTGCAGTGGCAGCAGCGACGTCTCCGTCCACCTCCAGTCAGCTGCAGGTCATGGAGACGAACGGGACCCGGTGCGGCGAGCAGATCCTGAGCTACGGCCAGGTGGAGAAAGTCCTGATCGGGGGGGTCCTCACCATGCTCACGCTGTCCACCATCTGCGGGAACTTACTGGTGGTCATCTCCGTGTGCTTTGTCAAGAAGCTGCGCCAGCCGTCCAACTATTTGATCGTTTCTCTGGCCGTGGCGGACCTGTCAGTGGCGCTGGCCGTGATGCCGTTCGTCAGTATCACGGACCTGATTGGTGGCCAGTGGATATTCGGACAGTTCTTCTGTAACGTTTTTATTGCTATGGATGTGATGTGCTGCACCGCGTCCATCATGACCCTGTGCGTAATCAGCATTGACAGGTGAGGGTAACTTCTTTCATACCTTGAACAAAGTAATGACTTTTATTCTTGAACGTGGTAAAACAACATGTAGAATAACTATATTCCATAAAACTCCTTGAGCATTAGTTAGAAAGTCAGATTTCAAACTTTATATACAATTAGATTTCTTTTATTGATGGTTTATTCAAGCTTTACATATTAACGTTTTAGAACCAGACAGACCACATGTAGATTTAGGCAGAAGTAGACATTGTGACCATATGGTATTTCTATTTTTAATTTTATGTGTTATGCTCTTACTACCCATCTAATCAGGTATAGCTGAATCATGGAATTAGTGGTAACGGCGTGTTGAGACAGTGGCAGATGTTGGGGTCAGATGTGTCACCTCAGCCCTTTGTCCACTATGCACTAGATCCCTCTCTGACTAAACACCCTGTCTGATTCCAATAAAGGGGGCAGAGAGGGTGTAATACACAGCAGATGACTCCCCAGTTTTCCCAATTCAAAAGTGAAATTATATTGTGATAAACCATTTCTTCTTCATCTTGTTCGTTGCATCTTGAACATATAGTGTATAGATATACTTCTACATGTGCTGCTGGCTGGTATGTGTAGAGTTTTAAGCAGCCTTCTGCCAGTGAGGTTTTGGGGGTTATTAATAGTTTAGTATGTTCTGCTTCACTGGGCTTCACGCTGAAAGGTTTGTTGATCACATATGGTCTTTCTCAGCATCTTGGGGCTTCTCTTTAATAAAATTCCCCAGTTACCCACCTGGGGGCTGTGTAACTTCAGATTACTAATAATCACTTTGCTTAAGGTCATCCCTCTTTTCAAGGTCAAATAAGGCAAGAAAATACATCAAAATGTTGAATAAAATGGCGATTGTTTTTCCCTTCTTGGATATGAAAATGTTGATGTGGACGTATTTTTCTCTGTAGATATTTAGGTATCACAAAACCACTTACGTATCCTGTTCGGCAAAATGGCTGCTGCATGGCCAAGATGATCCTGTCAGTGTGGCTCCTTTCTGCCTCCATCACGCTTCCCCCTCTGTTTGGCTGGGCACAGAATGTCAACGATGGCAGAGTCTGCCTCATCAGCCAGGATTTTGGCTACACCGTCTACTCTACGGCTGTAGCGTTCTACATCCCCATGTCAGTGATGTTGATCATGTACTACCGGATTTACAGAGCAGCCAAACTCAGTGCAGCTAAGCACACCATCACTGGCTTCCCCAGGGAAGGGGAGCACGGTGCAGGGGTGGCTCCACGAGGGGGGAGAGGAGGGCGGGAGGTTCACCTTCCAGCAGAATCAGGAGAAACAGGAAGTGTCGAAGGAACGGAGGTTGAACAGGAAGAGGAAGCTGAGGAGGAGAGCTTGGACTGTGTGGCAGCCGCGTTGAAGCTCCAGCGTGAGGTGGAAGAGGAGTGCAGCACACGTGTCTCCCGCCTCCTCAAGACTGGTGAACACCACCAGCGGCGGAAGAGGAAAAACCAGTCCATCTTCAAACGGGAGCAGAAAGCTGCAGCCACTCTGGGCATTGTGGTCGGTGCCTTCACCTTCTGCTGGCTGCCATTTTTCTTAGTGTCCACCGCCAGGCCATTTGTCTGCGGTGTGGAGTGCAGCTGCGTGCCGCTCTGGTTGGAGAGAACTCTGTTGTGGCTCGGCTATGCCAACTCCCTCATTAATCCCTTCATTTATGCATTTTTCAACCGTGATCTGAGGACCACCTACAGTAACCTCCTGCGGTGCCGCTACAGGAACATCAACCGGAAGCTGTCAGCGGCTGGCATGCATGAGGCCCTGAAACTGGTGGAAAAGCCAGACACTGATGTGTAAAGCTCCCGGTCTGCCTGTCAGTAACTGACAGAGAAAACACCCAGGGGCAATGGCACAGACCCCCACACTGCCACACTGATGATTTCACCTAAGTTGTACCATTATTGCTGAGATCAGAAGAGACAAGGTGCTGTGATTAAATGGAAGCACACGAAGCTCCACAGCCTAAATCTTTTCTTTTGTGGATGGAGAAAAACTGTGTGGAAGTTCAACCCAGTGGTAATTAACTCAGTAGTGACTGCTGCTGTAGATCACCACACCATGGTGAAGTCCACTAGTTGTAGTTGGATGCTGACTCGGTGCATTCATAACCGGATACTGCGCTGCTGGACAGTCTTTTGCAAATGACATCATCATAGAAAGTGAAGGATCTAATCACTGACTTTGTACTTGGTCACCACCATGGATAGAAATCAGTCTGAGCCAAGGAAAACAAAAATGGACAAGTTTTTGGAGTTGACTAAAAGGTCAATGTATTCACCTTGGGTCCCTGTTCATAATAGTGACACTGTTTTTCACTGCTTCTACAGTTTTTCTTCAGATGGACATGACTCATAACAAGTAACAAGACCAGGTTATGATTAAAACTTATATGACGTGTAAAAATCATTGCACACAAGTGAATATTCACAGATTCCCTAGTTCAGAGGTCACAACGGCTCCTTCTGATGATCTGTTTAGCAGAGAAGTTGGAGGTTTTGTTTGTATCACTACATGTATGTGTTGAATGTGCCAAAACCTGAAGTCATGACCACTTCATTGTTGAAAAAACAGTTATTGATCACCCGCTTTTTTAACCAGATAGATCACATATGAACAGACAAGCACTGAAGATCTAGTATAGTACATGATGGCACAAGGCGACAAGCTGGAGATATAGACGCAAAGAGAAACATGATTATTTAGGACACTTTGAATGTGCTTCTGCCTTTCCCTCAGTTTTTGTCAAAGGTTTGTTTGCGACACACCAGAGTCTCAGTTCAAACTGTTCACCTTGTGTTTTCGACTGTCAGCTGCTTGGCACAATAACCAGCACCTGTCACACACCTTTGAGTGGTGCACAACGTTCATCTAACTGAGCACCACCCACTTCAGGTGAGTGATAAGGGCAAGGACCAATCATAAATACAGAGCAAGCTCTTGTGAAATAACTGCACTGTTCACAGTTTGGAAGAAAACCTTTCATGCATCAGGTTATAGGTTTTCAGAAAACAATTAACTGGTTATTCAAAAGCATTGTCGGTCTTTTTTGATTGGTTATTTAATCAACTAAGGAACAAGTATTATATCTTTCCCCCTTCTACTTTTATCGAGCCTGATCACAGACACTAATTACAGACACAATTGTCTCTTGGGCTTTAATCAAGGCTGAGGCTTGTAAGGAGAAAAGGAGAGATGATAGCAGGTATTTCACTGCTGTTTTCAAGCACCTCTCATAGAGATGAACAGTCAGCTCAGAGCTCCGCTGGGGACGTGCCAGAGCATGTGCACTGGACACGTACACGTATGTGCACACTCAAAGTCCATGCCATACTTTGTGTGCAAGAATGAAGCTTTAATGTGTGTGCTCATTGTAGTACCCTGAACATGACAGCCCCCAGTGCTTAGACCTGTAGTTCTGGCAGCATGCTTTTTTAATACTGTACATGGATTTGTAGCATTGAGGTGTTAATTCTTCTTTCTTCCTATAAGACTGCAGTTTTTGTGTTCTCAGTACTCCACTAATGTGTGATGGCCTTTCCACTACCCTGCCGGTATTAGTACAGTCTGTGCTGCTGAACATTTGTCCTCATCAACTTGAATCTGAACAGCAACCGAGAAGGAGCAACACAGGGTGGTTAGTTGGTTTCAGAAGAATCTCTTTCCACTGAGGAAGTGTGAACGCTGTGGTTAAAACTGCCTCTTTTCTTTTTCTAATCATTAACTAAAGCTGTGCAAGATTTTTTTTTTACTACAAAAAGGCAATCACCATCTGGGACTACAGCAGGTCCCGTAAATGTACCCGGTCAGCAAATGAAATAGTGGCACTGGCTTTGATCGATGATCCATTTAAGTTACAAACTGAAGAACAACGCCCTGAGTGTCCACTAAACAACACAAAGTTCATCCAGAGAACCCTTTTTTAAAATCTAATTTTGCATCAGACTGGGGTTGTAACCGAGCAGGACATGTGGGTGCAAAAGTTCCTCAAATTGTTGTGGAAACCTGGGGTCATGAGCTTGTGAATGTGCCTGAAGGAAGCTGGGCTGAAGGGGGTGAAGGCATCTTCTGTCGTCATAGTCCATGGTTCTGTGTGTTCATGCCTTCAGCCTTGTACCTGGAGGAATTAGTTCATTTTGGGGGCTGTGAGCTAAAACGGTTGAGGACCACTGAACTGTACTCGTTCTGGGCAGTGTGCCACTGGCACGACTCCATTCCCTGTCGTAAAATATATGGAGAGTGGATGCAGTGGATATGTTTCCAAGGGAGCATCCAAACCAGAGGGTGCCCAGAACCTCCGAGGAGAACAGTGTTATACATACAGTACTGTATACATCCATCACAGAAACTAATGAAGTTTATTACGTTTATGACGTTATTACCAACGGGACAGTGGATGAATATGAGTTTTCTCAGTGCTCGTCTGTTTTCTTTTTGAGGTGGAAACCAGATGAGTATAGTCATGATCATTACAAACAAAAACCAAGAACTAAGTGCAGCATGTTTCATATCTGACAGAGCATTTCAGACCATACACATGGCTTTCAGGTGACATTAGTGGCCAGGCACAAGCTGCATCGCTGAGAGGGGATGACAGCAGAGGGGAGATGTTTTAAAGCTAAATTAGAGGTAAAAGCGTATCTAACTGTCCACTGCATCTCGGCTTCAGACAGCCTGACAAGTGTGACTAAATGTGCCCTGCCATTAAAAAGAACAGAGTGGAAAAGCTTTTCTCTGCAGCTGCACTTTCCTGGCTGAGCAGCCGCTGAAGCACTGCAGTGGTCAGAGAAATGCGTCTGGGCAAAGTGGCCAGCTCCACTGATAATGGAGCCCAGTAACACTATCTTCTTTACACTATCTTCATTACCTGTTATCTAATTTTATGTACATGGATTATGTTTTCACAGCTAATTCAGAGGACACGAATGATGGTGCAGGTCCAAGCTGCAGAGGCCGTTAAGATAAAACTGGAATGCCTGTAAAATCTTGCTATAGTTTAAAGATGAAACTGTGAAAAGTGCATTTGACTGATTTTATAATAATTTATTAATATCAGGTCTCAAGATAAATCTAAGATGTTATAAAATGAAGGCAGAATAAAACACTTCTTTTTTATTTAATAATTTGACATACTTTCTGTTTTATTATATAATACCACAGACCCAACTGATGTCAAACAAAAGGTGTTAAAGGTTTGCTTCCTCAATATTCTCTATGTGAGAAAGCTGACTTAAAATACTCCAAAGAATTAAAGGTAAAACACAATAAATAAATAAAAAATCACAATATTTTTAAAGGTTGATGAAAGGAATTTAAATATTCTGCCAGAACTGAGATACTTTCCATCCTCGATGACCACTGACTTAAAAATAAAGCTGCACTAGTCACTATAGAACCAGAAATGACTGGCATTTAGAGTTTTGTGCCAGTGGATGCTCAGCGTGTTGAGGATGCCTAAACTGCAGTTGTGCCGTTCCAGCGGATTTAATCAGTTCTTTGTAAATGTGCTGTACCAAAGGGGATGTTCTTTCCTGGGATTACACACACAGTACCACACCGATCTTGGACTGCCAGCAGAAACACAGTACACACAACAAGGAACAGTCCTAGGGGGTAGTATTGCTCTTATGTGCAGTTTATGTGTATTGTTTATTGTACATGTGAAGAATACTGTACATACAACAGAGTGAGTACACCCCCGGTCAGTCACTAAAATCTATAAACCTTTATTTTTAATGACAGATTTGATCACCCTGACAAGGATGACACCAGTCTTGTCAAACTCTGTGGTTGGATGTTGTGTCATTCATCAGAGACGTGGCTTTGCTGTTCAGTGTTCTACTTTAAAATGCTTCAGCAGTGTTGTATTGAATTCAAGTCAGCCTCTGCTCCTTCTGTCATCCTACACCTCCCAACCACTGCTTCAGCTGTCTCCACTCATGTTATGATGTCCCCTTTTCATCTTTATGAAGTGTCACAGTTTGGTTTCCTGGTGTTCACAGGTTCTTTTATAACCCTGTCATACAATTAGCCTTAATTGGAAATTACAGGTGCAATCACCTGCTCACAGGTGTACTCACTTTTGTTGCACTGAGTCTATCTATGGTGTCTGTATTTAAATATGCATAATATTAAATATACTTTTTTCTAAAAAATAATGCAAATATTGTAAGGTGGTGCAATTTTGAATCATTTAACATTTTAGCAGCCTACACCGAGGTGTACTCAGTATTGTCGTGTGCTGTATGATTTCAAACAAAGACAGGAAAGGGAGGTGACGCCATCACTGCCTGGGGGACCACAGCTGCATGGATGCAGTGACTCTTTAACCAATGAAATTGCCAGATTCCTTATATAATAACCAACAAACAACCGTAAGACAAGTAGTTGCTGCTGCTGTCATGGTGAAGCCTGGTTGTCCCAGTTTTAGAAACTGATGTTTTTACCTGAATTTGAGGCTTTTTAAATAGCATTGTATCATCAAATAGCTATAACAAGACAACACTGAATCATGCAAACACATATATTTAAAGGTTTTCAGAAAAACAGCAGACCTGTTACGTAGGATTTCATGGTAACGGGCTTGATGCTTCTAAGTCTTCAGCCTTTAGCCCTGTAGTGAACAGACAGCAGCCAGCAATTAATGAACCTTGCAGTGATGAAAGTGTCCTACAAGGCCTGTTTCAGATGTAATCTATTTTACAGCCTGTCCAGTTTTATCTGAGAGCAGAGTGATGAGCGACCGTGTGAAGGAACATTATTTGCTTAAATGAATGATTAAATAGGTTCCACTTGATGAAACAGGGCTGAATCTATTCATTACATGTCTATCAGTGTAAGAACCTTCTTCTCTGTGGGCTCTGAACGTATCCACGCCTGAGGAGAGCACATCTGCAAGATAATAAACCACGGCTAATTAGAAACAACTTGCACCGCACAGTGCACAAGAGCTTTACATTTACACTTGCACAGAAGTAAATCACAAGATTAGTTGTTATTCTCTGGTTGACCTACAAAACCACATTTTGTATTAACACTGATTCTAAATAAACTGAATGTCTGATGTCACGTGCACAGCTTAAATAGAGACGACAAACCACAGCTGTCATCAGACTTTCAATGATACATCTCTGTGGTTTTGGCAAACAGCGCGACTCTTTTAGACAAATGTGACCGTTTTCATCAAACTGACACAATGTTGTGCTTTGTGTAAAAAGAACACATGAAACTGAGCAAAGCATTTGTTTCTCTGTTTCAGACCCCTACATGCACGACGACTAAAACGGTTCACAGATGTTGTAAAAATAAACGAGCCTTGCATGTCCACTCACAGTAGTGATATAAAGGGGCCTTACTACCTCACTGTTGTGAGGTTCCAGGTTTGATCCCCAGCTGACCTGGGGTCGTTCTGTTTGGAGTCTCCATGTTCTCCCTGTGCCTGTGTGGGTTCTCTCCAGGTGCTCTGGCTTCCTCCCACAGTCCAGAGACATGCAGCTCAGGTGGACTGGAGACTCTAAAGTTGTGTCTGGTTGTTTGTCTACACGTCAGCCCTGTGACAGACTGGCAACCTGTCCAGGGGGGACCCCCCCCTCTTGCCCAGTGTCAGCTGGGATTGGCTCCAGCCCCCCACCACCCTATTCAGGATAAGCGGTGTAGATAATGGATGGATGGATGGACAGTAGTCAGATATGAGTTCTGCTTCAGACAGAGACACTGATAAGGTGTTGGAATGTTGCACATTGTAAGTACCAGTATTGTATGAAGCAGAGTCATGCTCCAGGCAGAAATAATTACCAACCATGGACTAAATAATTAACCAGTGGAACTAACAAATAATTAATTGGCTAAACCTCAATGAGCCAGAGAAACAGATTTACACATTTGTGAGGTGAAGCACTTAGTGAGGCTAAATGGTGAAGGCTCTACAACAGCCTCTTCATTTAGCTCAGAAGTCATTTTAAACAGTCACATCTTGTCAGTGTTGCTGAGGATAATTAATACAATCAGCATCTTTATTCTGAAATGCTGCAGAGTAGCTAACTAGCTTTGATTGTAACTGAGGCTGATCTGAAGATTGTTTGGCAGAGGAACACGTTTTGGACACAGTGAAACAACAGGGAGGTGCTCTGACAAACAAAAACATCAGATCAGAATTTTTTCCCCACCTTAACCTTAAATTTAACAGAAGCTACAAAAAAAAACAGCCATTTAGTTTGCATGTTGGCTTTTAAGTTGGCTGCACTGTGTGAGTTCTGCTTTGTGAAGACGTAACATTGCTAAATGTTTGGCATCATTTTATACACCTGACATACTGTGTGTGTTTTATGTGAAGAACAAGATGAGGCTTATGTTCCAGTGTTAGCTGCTACTTCTTAGCTACCCTCTTCTTTTCACTTGGGTTTACAGTGAAAATCATATTTATACAATCTTTGGAGGGCTCCAACTTCAAAAAGGGGGAACAAATAAAAGTAATTAGCTTTTTCTTTTCTGTAGCATTTTGCTGAGAGCCAGAACACCAAGCACATTGCAAACCCAGCTTCTAAATATTTTTGTGAAGGCAGCATAAAATGTCATATTTGACTCCAAGGAGCCAGGTTAGCTGTTAGCTGGCTGGTGCTCCATTAACCAGCATTCACTCTAAACAGTTTGTGTGTTTATAGCTGTCCCCACTGAGGCTTATTTCTCCCTAACCTCTGCCTAAAGCAGCCTTCCCCTGATCTAATGCTCAGATCGGACGGAAACCTGTAAGTCAGTTTTTAGTGATTTATTTCTGCTGTGTCAACTCTCAGTTATCAGTTTTGGTGAAGCTACCCAGGAAGTAAATGTACCAATTAAAGCAGGTTCCTGTTGTGAAACTCCGGTGCAGCGTGTTCACTGGAACTGGAAGTGCAACGACAAACTGTTCAGGGATACATGAGGAAAGTGAGGCAGGTATTGTTGTTTCCTCCCTTCGGTCTGTCGGCTATGATCGATACATGTTTCTTTGCAAATCCATCACTACATTACAGTACATTTCCCTTCCAATACTGAACTGCAGGACAGTCACTGTGAAGGTCTTATGGGTCAAGTGTAGCTGAGTTAATATAAAGAAAATGCTGTGTGGTTTTCACTTGATTTAATAGTTAAAATTGAAACAAACCCTTAAAATCAGCAGAAAACTTTAGATTTTCATGTTAATCAGCATCCACACATTAACACCTGTGAGTCAGTTTTAAGATAATAAGACCTCTTTGTTTCCATCTGTGTCAGAGATCGTGCCTACAGGTGAATCCCCCCCGCAGTGAGTACAGGGTCAAAGGTCAGGGGGGAAGCAGGTCAAGAGCGATACGAACCCAGAGAAAGTAAACGCTGGAGAGTCATGACAGACGTGTTCCTCTACACACAAAGCAGGTGAGTGTGGGCGGAGCTGGGTGGAGCAGGTAGCAAGAGCGGGAAAAGCCGAGCACAGACAGGGAGCTGGGTCTGGGTGGTGACAAAACAAAGACTGGGACTGTGGCACAGAGAATCAAAAGTCACCATCACAGATTCTACCTTTTTGAAGAACAAACAGCAGCACAACGAATGATGAATGAAGACTTTCAACCAGACGTCTTTGACAAAGACTGGTGAGTCACCTCTCAGATGTAGGCACGCACATAAAATAATTTGATTTGTGTCATTATTAAATCAAATGAGATTAGATTCAAAATGTGTGTAATCATGGAGAAAGGCAGCCAAAACATATTAGTGAATAGACAGAGACAGGCTGAGAGAAAAGGAAGACAAAGAAAAGACAGAATGTCGATTCATTTCTCTGTATTTAAGTCATCATAGTCATTCTCATCTGGAGAAAGAAACATGGCGACATCATGGCCAAAGACTGGGACACCATTTTTAACCAAATGTCAAAATTCCTGTTGATCTGCCAAAAACCGCTGCAGTTGAAGATTTATGAAAATCTTCACTAGATATGAGATTACCTTCCATTTTCCCTTTGACATTGATACCATCTGATCATTGTTTAGAAAATGAAATGTCCCGTATCAACAGATCACCATGTGCGTATTAACAGTGCACCATATAAACATAAATATAAGGTGTTAAAACATAATCACTAAAGTTATGTCAGCACTTATTTTAAAGTTGCTTTAACAGCAACATAATGTGCTCAGTCATGTATCATGAATTATATGCAGGAGCATAGCCTCTTGGTGTTTAGCTTGAACACACCAAAACACACACACACACACACACACACACACACACACACACACACACATAGACAGACAGGAAGCTGCAGGACTCCGACACCAACAACAGAGAAGAAAAGGTCTTTTTGAACTCATGCACACCAGCGGAGCTGCAGTGTTACTGTGAACAATGTGTAACTTACTGCAACCCTCTGCACGCTGGGGTAGGCGCTCACACCACCTGGTGTCTCTCTAGAGGATGTCTGCACAGGCAAGGACACAGTGGCCAATCAGAGCGATGGAGATAGCATACAGCGCCATAACTGGCAGCAGTTGTACTACAAGCGCAGCTGAGTGTCATGTGTTATTGTGACAGAAAGTTGCATCAGTTTTGTATATCTTTATCAGAGTGCACTTGTGATCGATGTCTGCAGTGACGCATTGGTTTGTTTGACTCATTTACCACCCAGGGCAGCGTTTCCATGAGCGTCCACTATTGATTCAGCCTTCCCACACTCACACTCAGTAATATAAAGGGTGAGTTCTGCTTTCTGCACAACAGAGCATGCAGCAGGGGGGAAGCTGAAATTTCACACCTACTGTACTGTGCTTTTACACAAAAGAAGAAGTAGACTGTGTGTTTTACACTTTGTTTCCCTGGCAAAGTTTGGCTGTGTGAGCTGCAAAGTGAGAAGTTTGTTTTCCCCAAGTCAACAAGTTAGTGGTGTTGCATGTATGGTGAGGAGGAGGATGAGTGAGAAAGAGTGAGGAAGGGAAGGGACAGAGAGAAGGAGGCTGAGAAAAAGAAGAAGACGAATGTGAGGTAGAGACAGTAGGACCGAGGAGGAGGAGGAGGAGGAGGAGGAGGAGGAGGAGATGTGCTGAGTGAGAATAGAGGGTGGAGAGAAGGGGTGGAATTGTTAAAGAAAGGAGAAGAGGGGAAGG